GAAATTGAGTGCAGTGTCCACATAGTGGAATAAAGAAAAGACACCCCTTATCATATTCACACAGCATATATATATATATATATATATACATATATATATATATATATATACATTGCCTGGAAAAAGCAGTAACAACAGGTGTGGTATTGCTAAAGAATGGTGTCCCTAGTAATGGACACTTGAGGAAAGAAATGTAATTTATAATAGACTTTTCTTAGGTCAAATAATCCTAGAATGATGGAAGAAGTTAAGGAGGCCTATGCTAGTTTGAAAGAGCATTCATGACTTATCCACTAGCTGTTCATCAACCAAAAGAGCTAATGTTCAAGTTCAGCCTAGAGGCATTTAACTCACTTAACTACAGAAGAAAGAGGAAACTTTCTTCATCCTGAATAGAAGAAAAGATTTCTTGATGGTTCCAGGGGAGGGAAGATGTTCAGTCTGGCTGGCTTGTGATCAGAATAAAAATCTGTTGTAGGTTTAGGCCACAAATTTTGATTTGGGGAAAATAAAAGTTTGAAATTAGCTGACAAAAATCAAAGGTTAAAAAACAACAACAAACAAACAAACAACAACAAAAAATGTTGACAATCTAGGCAAAATGTCTCATACAGAGTTCCCACAACTCAGCATTAGGACAGTAAGTGATTCAATGCTTTGAAAAGTGAGTAACCACTGTGGAAAGAAATCTGAGCTTCAGTTTGGTGAAAGAGATTAAAAAAATATAGGAAATTTTTTTTCTACTCACAACTAAATCTCAGAACCTTCTCCCTTCTTCTCCTTGTTCTTCTTTTATAAGTCTTTTGTCTTTCTAAATTAAGACCTCGAGGAATATAAGGAGAATGATTACAAAGCATTTCAGTGAGTATAAGTGTCTTTGTCGATGATGTCACTGAAAATTACTGCTCTGTATATGCAAAGAATTTACGGAGAAAAAGTTTTTAAGAGGCCTAGTTGGAATGATATGCTAGAGAAGTTAAAAATGGTCAATAAATAATATTCATATAGAAAAAGATCATGTCCTATTTACTGATGAGTGATTTTCCACATCCTCTGGGATGTCTCAATATGAGTTTATATATATCATCATAGCACAGGTCCATGCAAGGTAGGTGCTTTTTCCCTGGTATTACAGATGAGAAAACTGATATTCACAGTAACTCAGCTATAGAAATAATATTTTACAGTGCATATTTTGATAGGATAAAATGTATAAAACATATATTCTTGAAGTAGGCCATCAGTTGAATTAGAATTCCTTAGAAAAGACATGAATAATAATTTAATTTGAATAATAAATATTTTATAGATATTGAGCTAATGAAAACATATTAACTAAAAAGCTCTATTCAGCATTCATGCAATCTCCATTATCAAATTTATTTGTTCAGAGTGAGATTCTTATTTATGTTTTTCTTTGTAGTACTGGTGTTTGGCCCCACTACCTCATGTATACTCCTCTGATGGGTCCTCACTGAGATTCAAAGACAGTCCTTGAGTTGATGTCTTTTAGCAGTATTTAATGGTAACTAAAAGGTTTCCAAGGGGAGGGAAAACTACTTAATTTGAGATTCTGATTCTTTTACTAGATTTTTCTCCAGCCTAACTAAGTACAGACTAATTTTAAGTTCACTGTGTATTTCCTTTAATGAGCTCTCCTTAAAGAAAGGAGCTTCACAGTATTCTACTTTCACATGTTAAATCAGTTCAATATTTTGATACAAGCCACAAGAGTTCCCATCTCAGCAGTCAGTGATGCTGCAATTTCAGTCCAAAAATTATTTTACCTACAGTGTTCAGGCTGGAGAAAAGCAGGTTCTGCAGAGCTCAGATTTCCTGAAAGCAAGATATTTCAGTATCTGTAAAAGGTTCATTTATCTTGTCTTCTTGCACTAAATTGTTGGGTATTTTCCATTTCCACAGTTAGAATTGAAACCAATAATGAAATGTGGTCAGCAAAACACTTTGTTTATAAATTCACCCAATTATAAAATGAAGAAGCCAATATTACTTTACCATATTGTCTATGCCATAAAATTAAAAGATTCAAGGTGCTCTGAGTTTTAGGTGTGCATAATATAAATGGCTCTTCATATTTGACCTTCCATGTTCCTTTCCTCCATATTGAAAATGGCCATCTTATTATGGTAGAAATGTTATTACTATATACTTAGAAGGAGAATTATTTGTGAAGTCATTCAACTGTGTAGTTTGAAAGAGACAGCTCATTTCTATCTTATTTTGTCTTTGATTATGAGTTAGTGAAGTGAAAATTGCATGAGGACCAATCTACTTAAGAAGAAAGATCACAATAATTTTGAGTTGGAAGACATGGCTGCAAGTTCCTTAGAAAATGCACAGCTTTTCAACTGTCTCCATGAAGTGGGAGAGTAATTCATCCATCAAGTGTTGATTTGATGTATTGGACATTGCAAAATTTTTAACGGCTTATTCTCACAGTCTTAAATGTATAAATCATGATTATCTCAGTTGCAAAGCATCAATTCCTAATCATTAAAAGTACAGATTAAGAAGGAAATAAATGGTTAATAGCTATAAATATAATTAGAGTATTTGATATTATCCAATGCTTCCAACATTAGATATCACAGTAAACAATAACAAAAATATCACCATCAACTTTAGAGTCTCCCATCATTAACACTGAAAATAATTACAAACTGGGTACCAGCTTCCCTTCACCATCTATGTGTCTATCTACTACATATCTATCAGTCTATACAAACCTTTTAAAATTGGCAAACTCTTTGATTATTTTAATTGTTTTCATTTATTATCAAGACACCTTGTTTTCATCCTTGGTCACAGTAAGTATCCATACAGCAAAGCAATAGTAGCCTATGAATCAGTTCATGAATTTACAATCTAGGCAAAGGCAAATTGTGTATAAACTTTATATATCTACTCTAAAGGCATTCAGCATCATGATTTATTCTATGAGGGGATGTTGAATACTTGGATCCTGATTCCAAAGTCACAGCGAAAAAATGCCTTACATTCTACAAGACAGTCCTAGTTTATGGTGTTTTCCAGACATAAATATGAACAGCAGCTCTTTCCTCTTTAATAAAAATATTCCCCCTTAGAAAAACAAATTTTGTAGTCACAATTTGCAAAACAAATGACTATATATGATTTAAAATGAACAATTGTAGTACACGGAATGCCTTTTTTTAATTCTGAGCTGTTTTGTAACACCCAGTCTTCCTTTCAGACCTAGGAGATAGGCCAAAATTTGGGTTTCTATTTTTTTTAGTTATAAAACAAAATACACAATCTGTGCAACTTTAAATACTTCTCTGAAAGGTTATTGAAATGTGTAACACAGCATTTCTATTGTTTTTTTTTTATTTTTTCCACTTATTTCAAAATTTCAGAGAGAACAGTTGAAATCTGTTCATTATTAGATGACATTTTCCCTTCAGAAATATTGTCCTTTTAAATAGAGTCAAAAATTAGACTTTATCTGGAATCCAGCAATTTACCTTCTCATTCATCCAACACTTGTGTACAGTGTCTTCCAAGGCCACTGCTATAAAAAGGCAAGTCTTTAAATTATGGAATGGGCAGAAAAAAATAAGTTCTCTGAATATAAAGAATGAGAACTTATTACTTTATGTGGACTTTTTAAATGTAGGGTATTTTATACAAAAATAATCTAGATACCAATTAGCTCATGGTCAAAATAAGCAGGGGCCACATTAGTCTAGATTCTCAGATCAGTTTGGTGTTTATAAATGGGCTTTTAGCATAGGCATATACACAAGATTTCCATAAAAGATGAATCCTTCATGTCTTCATAAGAGAACAAAAATAATATTCTTGGATAAGAGTTCCTGATTGGTATGACTAACATGCAAGTATTGCATCTTTAAGGAGAGAGACTGAAATGTCGACATTTTAATGTTTATGATAGTGGAAGCCGGCTAGGTGAGTAATGTCTGTATATTGACCTTCCTGCTTTCTTTTCTGTGATGCATCTACATTTATCAAAGCATTCAACAAGAGCTAAGTAGCATTGTGGTGAAAGGCAAAGCCATGGTACACTTAAGCCATAAAATGATATCTTATTTCAGAACAGAATTTTCTCAAAATCCATTAGCCTCCTTCACACTGAGATAGCAATATTCCAAACTATTATCATGAAGTAAAGTTTCCTATACTAATTGAATATAAATTCTGTAAGGAGCATTTAGAAAGCAAAGAAATGCCTATAGGAAAACCAGAAATCAGACCTGGAGAATACTAATATTATAATGGAAGTCTAAGATGAATATATTAGAGCTCAATTAAAGTCAAAATTCCTTTTCCAAAATATGGCAGCTGAGGAAATATCAATATATACATGAAATGGACTTTTGAAGACTGAGCTACAACCTTACTTTACAATAAACTATAGTAAAAGAAACTCTAGCCATATAAGTAAGACTCTCAACAAATAATGAAATAGATTAAATATTCTCTGTGAATCAGAGACATAAAAATAAAATTAGTGTATTATTTCCCAAATAATACCAATAAGAAATGTCCTTCAAGAAGGTTTTTGTGAGCTATTTGCTATTTAAAGATAGTACAGGATTAAAACAAATACCTCTATTGTGTACCAACAATCCATGCAATATTAGAACAGACTTTCCCAAAAGACTTAGTAAACATTCAATTAAAAGTTCACAACAACAAAGTGCAAACAATTTCATTCCGTGACAGATATCTCAGGATCTCAGTGTTCTTGGAAGCACTGAAGGAGGTGATTGACACATTCCCTGGGATACCACTAGTTTTCATCAATGGATTTTTTAATTTGTAATTTCCATATTAGGAAGAGGAAATTATATAACTATGTTGCTATGTTGCTGATAAAATGACTTTCAGCTATTCATAACAAAAGTATTTAAATTGTATTTTCCATCTACATTGAGAAACTGCATGCCATATTCCAGTTTCTACCCTACACCATTTCACAAAGCTAACATATTTACCTTCATTTTTCTTGATGGTGAAATTTGGGTTGTTGACCATTTCTGGAAGAAGACTGTACAAGAAATAATGTCCATTTTTGGGATCATCTTTGTCCATGGCACTTACTGTTTGAATGACCTGTAACATAAAATTGTCATCAGCATTTCTGATCACTTCAGAGGGCTCCCATTGCTTGTAATAGGCCAGTCATATCCCTTTTGTGGTCTGGTACTTTGGTCTAAAGACTCATTTTCAGCTTTCTAAATTGTCATGGATGGTTTGTGCCAAGAATGATTTGAGCAGAATCCATCACTTTAAAACCTCAGCTGTGATAAGTTGATGAAAATTAAGAGCATTACCTTAGTTTCCATTTGATGTCTGTGGCTTGAAATAGCAAAGTTAAGTGTATTTGAAAATTCCACTGGGCAATTACAGGTTTCTTTCCAATTTGAGTATTTACGGGCATCTAGAATGAGATTTGGAACTGTTACAGTGATTGGAGTGGGCTTTGGGGAGGATCTTGGAGGGAAGACTTAAACCTTGAATCCTCACAATATTTTTTTACCCATCAAGTTATGTGTGGCTGCCAGAAAGAGTTTCCCTCACACAAAACTCCCTACAAGATTTCTTCTTGAGGAGTTACGTGTTCTCTTCCAATAATGAATGCGGTTTTTCAAGCTCGTGGATAATATATGTAAACAATGATTAGGATTTTATTCTGAGATAAATAGATGATAGAGATTAGAAGAGTTGCTATTGAGCAGAGAACTGTTTATATAGACACAGACTCTTGGTATCCTACCCTGAAGGTACTGGGTTCATTTTCAAAAGCCACACTAACAATGCCACATTGTTTCCAGGATGACAGAGAATTATCTAAATTCTCATTTATGATTCCATGATATTTGTTACTTCAATGTGAAACATTGGACAAGAGCTCACATAGTAAAAAAAAAATGTGGCTTATGTTTCTATTGCTTAAAATTATCATATGAGTCCAATCTGACTGAATTGTGGCAGCAAAAGTGGCAGCAACAGGAAGATGCTATGAGAATAATAAAATGTTGTGTATATGATGATGGCTCTAAATATATTGTGCATATTTGAATATGAATGTTCCATTGGACTTTAAAGTTTTCAATAAAAAGAAAAGAGATCATTTTGTGCATGACATTATCTTGTGATTTATGACTTGTTCAAATGTGAGAACTACAATCTTTGAACTTCAGTATTTTTGAGCCTTTGCATTGTACCATACAATATATTGGGAAATGCATTGAAGTGAAAAATTAATGTTTACATTATGTTTAAATTTGTTAAGAAATGTATCTAGTTACATTCTATAAGTTATTATAATTGTAGTCAGTTTGAGTCCTCCTATGGCATGAAGTAGCTGCAAGTGCAACTTACCCTTAAGCACAGAGGCAGTCATTCATTAGGAGAGAGGTTTCTTAAATTAAACTTTCCACATTGAAGTCATAGTTTTAGTGTTTCTTCTCTAAGGGAGTAATTTGAGACACTCTGAAACTTAGTTTCTTTTTATACTTAAAACACAGAGTGGTTTCTCATGGGTAAATTCTGATTATTTTTGTAAATTTAAATAATGCTGTCATGAAATGTCCAATGAAACGACCATTATTAACGTTTTTATTAAGGGCATTGCTACTGATTAGTGACATGATGCTTTGTTTCTTAGAAAACTATTGTTACTCAAACAAGGAAGCTGTCGAACTCTAACCAGATTTGAGAAGAAAGAATGACAATTTATTGTGGCTAAACAATAGTATATATGCTTTTGTATTTAAGAGCGTGGAAAAGCTCTGGCGTCATAGAATCAAAAATAACTGAATGAAAGGGCAAGGTAAGAAGATGTCTAATGCACACAACTCCTTAGAGCAGTGTGAATACACAGTTATTTAAGAAAAAAGTATAAACTGAACCCTTTACTTAAGAACAACTCTGTGAGAGTCAGTTGTGCCATTCCTTCCCGTGTTTACCCAACTCTCTACACAGACCTTCTGTTACCAGGTTAGACTGTTAGAAAAGTCATTCATTTTGTATGTGAGTGCATGCGAAGAGTGGGACAGTTGAAGAGATAGTTTCTTATAATTTGGGATCACAAGTAAGTGCATTCTAGTGGAATACCTAGATAATGCACTAATATTCATAATACTGATATGAATATATGAAAAGGTGCATATGTACTGATGAAACAACATCAAAGTTATTTGATCAGTGAATCCACGATAATGAAAAAAATGCAAGCAATCCATACTTTATCTGTGGTAAAGGGATACAGCTACTTACCATACCACACCTCAGAACTTTTATCTGAACATCATACTGGAAATAAAGAATGCTTTCTCCATCATTTATGTTAACTAGGACTCATTAGACATGTAATTTCTGTTTCTTACACCCAAACTCACAAACCAGAAAGTATCAGGGCAAGGCATAACAATATGCAAGTTCCACAACCAATGTGATGCTGTTACAGGTTCAAGTCCGAAAATCGTTTTGAATACATAACAAAAAAATGTGGTGCTCATCGGTTTTAATCACCAGGGCAGAAAGGGTTTATTGTAAGGGTCAAGCCATGCTAAGTTCATGAGATGTTGGGAAGAACATGATTAAAATGGTGAATAATTGACTTTCCAAATATCCCATAAACAGGTTGCAGTTAACATTTTGGGTTAAACTATATTTGATGCTTCATTTTATTTTAATACAGATCACGATTGCCTTTGCATTTTATCTAAATGTTGATGCTGGTAGATCATTTGAAGGACGTTGTACCATTAAAATTCATTAAGATATCCATATTAAGAAGGCTGAATTTTTCAATGATGTAATAACATCTGAATACACTTAGTTTAGTCAGTGGACTAAAAAGAAGTGCAGATGTTTTCAAGGGAGTGAAGCCCTAGAGAGTCTTGTTACAGAGGCAAGTACAGAGATGGCAAACAGAAATCTCAGAGTTCCTACTGTGAGGCTCTGTGACCTCTATTGATATTTAAAATAATTAAAAATCTCTTGCATGGACATTTATAAAAATGTCCAGAGAAATTACACATGAAGAATTTCTACCTAATTTTCAGTTTAGATATCTTCCCTTCTATCTATGAATTTATCTATGCAACTAAGGTACCTAAGGCTTAATAACTTATCATGAAATTTATTCAGTTGAAATGAAGACTGAAAACAACTTTTGCTCCTCTATAAAAAAAAAAAAAAGAAACCAAAGACTGCTTAGGGTATTATTAAGGAAATGCATTTCAAGGCCCTGCCTGAATTCTGAAGTGTACAGACATTGTATTTCTTGAAACTCATCGAAGAATCTTTTAAGAAAGAAACCAAAAAGAAAAACTCAATAATATGTATCACAACATGATTTTGATTCTAATAAAATGTTACTTTATCCATGTTTCTAAATCTGTATGGGATACTTTTAGTTCTTATTAAATTTTATTTTCTATAATTTTACATTTTTTTATTTTATTTTACAATACTATTCAGTTCTACATAACAGCCACAGATTCCCTTGTTCTCCCCCTTCCTGGCCCCCTCCCCTTCCCCCAGCCCACCCCCCATTCCCACCTCCTCCAGATTTTTGAAGATCACATCTGCTAACATGAGTATCATGTGATCAATTAGAACACTACCACAGAGTTTTTGTAGTTCCGACTCGTTCATTTGTTCTTAGTCTCCGAACATGACACCCTGTGCGAGTCTTCCCTGTCTGTGCTATTGTAACGTGTCCGGCAAGCAGTAGCAAGCAATTACTTAATATGTATTAGATATGCAAATCAATGGATAGATAAATAAATATGTGATGATTGGAACTCTTTTTCTATTCTTGTTAATCCTCATAATACCGTAAGAAGTAAACCTTAGGGGCTCACTAGTACATCAAAAACATTACGTGTCTCATCCTTAACATGTCTTGTTAAAGACTGGCTACATTCTTCTCACCAGTATGCAAGGTTCACCCAAGGTTCACCCACTTCCACATTTTTCAGATATGCATTTCAGTAAAGTTCAGTTTATATTTCCAACATGTTGGAGATTGGAAAGTGAACCATGTATTCCATTGCTCATGTCTTTGCTTTCAATACTATCATGGTTCCCTCCTGATTCTGAAGGGTAGAAATCACAATCAAATTATCATTGATAATCATAGCTCTACCTGGAGACAAGGTGAGAAAGTCCTAATGTGTTACAACTTTTGAAATATTCTTCAAGGACTCAGAAATGCAAAAGTATATATATATATATATATATATATATATATATATATATATATATATATATATATATATATATGGTGTGTGTGTGTGTGTATTTGTATATGTGTACATTCTCTAAGAATGCTGTATAATGATGACCAGTGAGGCAAAAGAAGCACACTATCACTCAGAAAAAAAATCTTGTTACTTTTTCAACTTCTCCTCAGTGACTTAATTAGAAGGTGATGTAAAGGAAGAGAGATTTTTCTGAAAATATTTTTTCATGAAAATAAAGTTAAAATAATTTGATTTACTAAAAAAAATGAAGAACTACAGATATAAAAGGAAACATGCCCAAAGAAATGTACAAAATGACCCAATGATAACAAAAACTAGAAAAAGGACCCAGGTGTAATCACAGTTTATGTCTGTTTAAAAGATATTGACAGAATGTGTAGGCTAATTTGTTTAGCCATCCAGTCTTAGTCTGGATTTTCTTTGCTGCCTTATTCACAGTGACTTCCTATGTCATTTTTAAAGATGGAAACACCCTTTGCCTCCAACATGCCAGATGCCTCTTCAGAACAAACAGCATAAAAGGAGAACTACAGGAAGGACATCAGGAAGGGGATGAGGAATTTCCATGTCTTTTAAATAAATATGAAGGATTTAGGCCCTCATAAATCGACTCTGAAACACCTAACCCTTCATCACATGTTTGACCACACCTTAGTCATTTTTATTGACACTGAACAGACATAAAAATATATAGTTGGTGTTTCCTAAGTTGCATGTTTACATATGTTGGGGTTTTGCTATCTCTTTTGTTCCCTGTGTTCTTTTGCTGACTGAACATGTATCATATGTTTTTTATGTCCCTGGAAATAATCAATATTCAAATCAAACCACTCC